TATCTCATGCTTGCTTCAGTATCTTCATATGTGAGATATTCCCTGTAAATGTAAGGCAAATTGGGCGACTACATGACGCTAATCTCCCACCGCAGCTCCATCTATTCGTTTCAAAATTACGTAAGTCGTTCAGTGCATTAGCGAGGAACATAAGTCATACAGATAAGCCTTGTTACTCGGAAAAAAAACAGGAGAATAGAGATACAGTTAGGTTGATATTTCGGGAACACGTCTTTCTCGAAACAATAGCAGAAATGAATTATCTTCTAGGAATGAAGTGAATAGCAGAAGTGAATTCACCTCTGCCATTATTTCGAGAAAGGCATGCTGCCCAAATATCAACCTAACTATACCTCCATTCTCCTGCGTTTTTCCGAGGAATAAGGCTCATACTACTGTCTTATCCACAGCTCCATCTGGTGAAGTCCAGGTTTTGTGGAATGTCCACGCGCACATCTGAAGTTGCAGACGCATGAAATGTTCACGTCGCTGCTCCGTTTGGACCCCGCGTGTTCTTCCCCCAACGGTGACGTTGGCTCTCGGCGAATGGGTCGAAGTCAGTGGGGTCCTGCTTTGTGAACGCGTGATGTGAGGCTACGCGCTTGGTCACGTGGTTACGTACGCCTGTGAGTTCGCCCCGAGCGGACAGTCACGTGACCGACCGGGCGTTGGGCCAGCGGCCAGTCGGAGAATGCAGACCCAACCGGCACCCGTGGCATGTGTCCGGGGCAGCAGCTGTCGTAGCTGCAGCTGTCGTACCGTGGCCGGAGCAACCGCGGTTTGGACGTAACAGTGCCGCCATGGTTGTTATGCGGACAGACTACTGTGCAACAGAGATGTTACGAAACTGTGGGGCTTAACTGCGGTGAAAGCGTGGTCGTGTTTTTTTACATCCATCTACTGAGTGTCTACTATAACTTTTAACCGCACTTGCTGGTGTCCAAGTTCTTTTAAATGGACTTATTTGACACTGCCAGTACTTGTTTCCTAACTTAAAGAGCTTCTGGCTATCATAAAACAAAAACTTATCCAACGTTTGAGCTCACTGCAGTCAGCTTAATCTTGTAACTTTGTGCTTAAGCCAATCAATCGTGCAGGTTTGTGGTTAAATACCATATTAGAAACGCTGTGAAATTTTTACGTAGCTGGTTGTTGTCTACCAAATATCATATAACAACGCAAAAATAGCCAAACTAAGCTTTTGTCCTTTCCTCTTCGACCAAAACAGCTAGCTTTGAATTAAGGCTAACGTATCATAATCCACATGGTGTGCATGTTTTAGGAACATGGTCTTGATAGGCACGACTAAAATCCTAAACTACAGGTATCTGCTAAATAAAACAAAGAACAAACCACGAGAAAATTCCTGCCGTGAAAAGCATTTACCAGCCTGCTTCATCACGAGAACATACTTTAACATACACTTACTCCTCTAGTTCGGACAACACACATATATTTGTAAAAAAGGACAGATAGTTTTCAAGGTCTGGCGGGCCAATCGCAGCAAGCACGGACCTGTGTTTTTCGGGACGAATACGGAGAGGAAAAGAATAACTGATGAACCTGTGGCAATCAAACGCGGTGCCTCCCACTTGGTGACAGGAAAAGGACGTCATAGCGATGGTGTTCATGCAAGAAAAGATCGGATTGATCAGCTGCTACCATCCTTCCTCCTTGTAATAGTAAGTATTTGTTTTATCGCTTCCCAATTTGTTTTGCTAGCTACCTCGAAAATTGCTGGTCGAATTGGCCGACAGTGCTGGAAGTGGTTGACTGATAACTGCAGAAAAAAACTCGCAGAATATAGCAATCGACACACAGGCTATACAGCCCTATAGGACGTAGCAATATTGGTCTAGCAATCCTTCCTCCTTGTAAAAGTTGGCATTTATCCGATCGCTTCCAACCTTGTTTTGCAAGTTACATGGAAACTTGTTCATCGAACTGGCCAATGACGATGGAAGTGATAGACTGGTCCTTGGTCCTCACATCCGTATGAGGCGTAGAGAGATTGGCCTAACATAATCAACAAAATATAAGGGAATGTTTGGGCTGGGCAATTATGCCCAGTCATGCGCCAGCAAGGTATCACCCATCGACCAGCATGCTCTAAACTAGTGTGCGGCGTCTTATAAGAGACTCGGACTTTTTCAGCACGGGGAACACAAACGCGTATAGTTCTCGGAGCTTACTGCGCTCGAATCCCAATGCTGGGTTGTCTTAAAGGTAGTAGATAAGTTTTCTGTTTGCACCCAGCGCTCGCTGAAGTTTCAGCTATCGACCGATCACGGACCGGGCCCAACACATAATTCCTGCCTGCCGACTGCGCTGACATCTGAGACAGCTGGCTGCAGCACAGCATGAGAAACATTGGGCTGTGTCGTATGCAAGCCGTTTGGCTCTGCTCTGTTAGCCTCTCTGTTAGTACAAAGCTAAGAGCTCTGTACCATGCCATAAAACGAAGCAGCAATGTGGACGTTATTTCACGCTGCTGCTCCGCCACGTCTCAGTGCGGGTAACCAACGATATGTCATGTGCTTCACTTGTCACATTCAAATTCGGATGTAACTAGCCATCGGGTACGCGGGACGGTACTCCGCAGCATGCAGCGGCGTAGTGGGCTTGCTTTCAGACCTGTGTGAGCATGCGCTGGATGTACCGCCACACCGCCTGGGCACCGAATAGCGCCTGGTATGGCGCCGCACCGGGTAAGGAACAGGCCCTACTGGTCCGCATGCTGACCTGTCCGGGCCTGCTAATGGCCGGCCCACGGATGCCGGTGGGCTGCTGGGAGCTGTGCAGCCGCCTGCTGGACAGCAGCCTGGTCAGAGCGGTCCGCAGCGAAGGCAGGACCTATTGCCTGCCGGTGGAGCGGCGACATATCCCTATACCGTAACTGTTTCGAGATTTTGTCGCTAGATGGCCCTGCGCTGAGAGTGCCATCTGGTGGCTCGAGCCTAGGAAGCCAGTTGTCACAGAGCGAAGCATGCATCGTTCGAATTGTTTTGCCGTAGCACCACGCCCAAACCAACAGATGTATCCCATATTATCCCAGACACGTGTTGCGAGCTCAACGCTCAGGCGCATTATGCAATCTGCAGCCCCGCTGAGCTTAGCAATTTACTTGAATCCCACGGTTGTTGTTGGAGGCACACACACACACAAGATACCGCATACACCAGCACGACATGATATGATCGCATACGGGTGTTCGTAAACACAGCATGACATGCACGGATACAAAAATCAAACTGCAAGATAGGAGGAATACAAGAGGAATTTTTCACTCCTTTTCCTATCTTTTATGTGAATTTTTCGCTCCTGCGTGATATTGTCTAACCACACATGCCAAGCCCATATTTCCGTTTCTGAGACTTTCAGATGTCATCCAGAACCGAGCTCACTTGAAACTACCAAGCAATAGCAAGGTTCCACAGAACCCGGACACCTATGGCCATGTCCTGCCTCACCTATATCTGAATCATGTCTATTGTATGCACAGAGCAAGGACGCCAGGTGCCTTCAAGCCCGAGAGCCCCAGCGACTCCAGGCGCTTGCATGCACCAAGTTTGGTTTGTTTATAAAATGCATCACAATCGGCAGCTGGGCGCCAAAGGCAAGGTTTCCTCGTATCTCCCCATTTTTTTTTTTTTTTTTTTGTCTCACCACCACACCAAGAAAGCAGAGCCTAGTACAAACACCAGCAAAGCCTGGTATATAATTTTACTCAACCTATTTCTTTTACCCAAAGAAACTTGGCCATTAAAATGCACCACTCCCGAAATGCACGAGTAAACAATTCAAGACATGCATGCTAAATGAAAGTTACAAGCCGAATATCACCGTTTGAGCGCTTATGTTCACAGATTTAAAGTCAAATCAGCTAACTATAAAGCTTTTTTCTTCAAAATATCATCAGCCTTTACATTTAGTTAATTGCTTTTCTTTTTTCTCGGTATCATGTGAGTGTGATACAAGTGTATGCTTCCTTCCTTTCTGATTGCCTTTAAAGGCACCATCCATTGCTTGAAACGTTGACCAATTTCTCTGCAAAATGCTCCAACTGCAACCTTGCAGGTTTTTTATACATAAATTGGATTTATTCGCCAGCCTACCAAACATATTTGATATGCATCAAAGAATGAACATCTCACAGGAAATGAAGCAGACAATTTGAAGCACGGAACTTATTTTTGCCGCCATGTTTGCCCTGACAAACCCTCAGTTAGCCGTTTTTTGGTTCATGGCGTTGCTCGATAGTGATGAATCTAAGCCTTTCCAGTTTCGCTAACTCACCTGTCTGAGGGCGAAATTTTGCCCTCTGAAACTATTTAGCATGCATACCTCTTACTTGCTACACATTTTTATCTCGTAGGCTGGTGGACATAATTGATTTTTATATCTGAGGGTGGGTAGGATGACCCTGTATGTCAACATACCATGCGAAAGTTGCTAACCTTTTATTTGGAGGGAGCGGGGAGAAGTCTGCTCTTTAAAAGCCAGTTAGTCTCCTGTAGAACAAGTAATTGATTATCTTACCTGCTGTCAACGCATGATTTGTAACCAGAGTTAGCCATTTTCTATTTTAATCCATAGAGTTTTGCCATAAGACAAATGATGATGCAACAAGACATACAACTGACTTATTTCGCTCCACACTCTTGATTTTTTGCGTCAAATTTCTTGAAGTGGTCCCTCATGGCTGCTTTAACACGATGCACGTAGTTCCCCCACCCCGGGATCCCGGGCTTCTCTCTCAAGAGACCAAGTATGCCCCGAGTCTGCCTCTCCTCCACTTTTTGAAGCGTTCTACGCCTATGGGCTATGTGCCATGTGCATGTCTTAAATATGATATCGGATATGATGGACAATGTTGTGTATTTTGTTGTGGAAATTACATCTACATTTCGTTTTGCCAGCTTATGATAAAGTTTAGCAATTGCAGGAAGCTACGACCATCTCTATGTGCGGTTATGAGCCAATGCTTCTAAATAGCAGCATTGCAATGCCAAATACATTTATTTTCAGCGCATAACATCAGATAAGACCACAGCAGACAGAGACCACACGAGAACAAGCTGACGAGCCGTCGATGCCATGAACCAGATGTTCCATGATTCGAGGCTTTGAGGTCGGCCTACCGAGCAATCACACACATGCTGCCGTCAGCGTTTATATCATGATAGGCTAGATTGTAGCATGATTGTATTGTTGTAGCAGGCTTTTCCCCTGATTGCAGGGATAGGCATGCCTTTTAGTCGTCCGAAGGTTTCAAATCTGTATTCAATATTGCAACGCGTCGCTGTGCATGGAAGTCCACATCAAACGGTGGGTACCGAGTTTTGGAGAAAAATACGTGCTGAAGAGAACTTGTTCTGACACTAGTCCCATTGCGGGGAGGGGGAGACATGGCAAGCCCAGAGCCCGACGGGACAGAGCCGAGCGCCGGCCCACTCTGCCCTGCCGGCCGCTGGTGGCTGGATCCCGGTGTTGTGCCGCTGGTTCCAGTTCATCCCGGGGCCGGCGGCGCCATAGCAGATCGGCGGCTCTAACTTAGATCGATGCCAGTGTTCTGCGTGATGTAGTCCAGGTACTCGGTGACGCGGGTGAAGACGGCCGGCACGCCCGCCTCGCAGCCCTGGGCCGAGCCGTAGCTGACGATGCCCACCTCCAGGAAGGAGCCGTCGGCTTGCTGGATCTGAAGCGGTCCGCCAGAGTCGCCGTTGCAGGAGCTGGTGCCTCCCGTGGTGCTGACGCACAGCTGCGTGCTCGGCGGCCGCCACGCGCAGGCGCTGTTGGCGATGATGGGCACGGTGACGTCGCGCAGGTAGCTGCTGATGGAGTTGACGGAGTCAGAGTAGCGGCCCCAGCCTGACACCTGCCCCTGCTGGCCGGCGAAGCTCTGGCTGCCGTGTAGAGACTGGCGGGGCAGACACACCGGCCGGATCTGGTCCGAGAAGGTGACGGCACTCGGCAGCTGGATCAAGCCGATGTCGTTAGTGAGGCTGCTCGAGCTGTACCTGGGGTGGGTGTGCAGCACGGTGGAGGTAACGGTCAGGCTGGGGGAGTTGACGAGCGTGCCACCAAGCCGGACATTGACGGAAGTAGCGCCGTCCGTGCAGTGTGCCGCTGTCAGAACCCAGCGGTCAGAGATAAGCGAGCCGCCACAGAACCAGCAGCTGTTACCCTGGCAGAGTTGCAGCGCCGCCATCCACGGGTACTCCTCGATCTCCGCACGCTGGCCTCCTGTAATGCGGCCGCCGCTGGCCGATGAGATGCCGCACGTGCCGTCGCTGGAGCCTCCGCCGCCACCGGAGCTGCCGGAACCGCCGCCACCAGAGCCGCCGGAGCCGCCAGAGCCGCCGGAGCTGCCTACGGAGCTGCCCACGGAGCTGCCCACAGAGCTGCCCACAGAGCTGGAGCTGCCGCCGCCGCCGGAGATCTGGTACTCGCAGTAGAAGCCGGGGAACTGTCGGCGACGGTTCGACCGGAAGTAGAGGTTCAGCACGGAGCCGGTGGAGGAGACGCTGAATGGCACCGAGCGGCGCATATTGCCGCACACCACGAATGTCTCGTCTTCGCTCCATTCGCCGTCCAAGTTGACCAGCAGGAAGTCTGTGTAGCGGCGCCGACAGCCCTGCGTGTGAAAGCTGAAGCAGGTGAGACTGACGCTGCCACCCTCGGGCGCCTGCAGTGACAGCTCGCAAGAGGCCCGCGCCGGGTAGTCATCCGGGTATCCGGGCGACGTCACCGCGCCGCTGCCGTCTGACAGGGTCTCCACGTCGCAGATAGAAACGTTGGCGCGGTCCGAGGCGGGCCGCAGGCCGGGCGGTGCCGGGCGCAGCGGCGACTCACTGCGCGGTGCGAGCCCGGTCCAGTCATCGCGCAGCACGCGGAAGACGTTCCTCTGGGGCAGCTTGGTCCAGTCGGACGCGGCGCCGGCCGCCGCCGCCAGGCACAGCACCAGGAGAGGTCGCATCGTGTCGTAGACTGCTGTGGTGCCGAACTGGCAGGTCGCCGTCGTTTTATAGCGCGGAACGACGATGCTGACGCAGGCGCGAGACAACTGCCGCGGTCCGATGGATTTGGACGAGTCATCGTGGCCATTTGCAAGGCCTTGGCAGCGGAAGCGGCTGATGCACCTCAAATAGGATTCAACGGCAGGACGGTGCTAACACATAGCATTGCCTTGTTACACAGAATCGCACAGGTGTTGATTGGACACGTGAAGGATGCGAAGACGTTGTTAATTTGCTTAGCTGGTCGCGGCACGGGCTGTGGCGCGTCAGTACTGTCAGGTGAGCGCCACTTGCGGATGGTCTCGGTCTGGTAAGTTGATGGCAGAAGAGGTAATGCATGGAGGAAATGCGCAGATTTTGGGAAATGCGAGAGAGAGGAAAAAGAGGAAAAGAAAGAGAGAGAGAGAGAGAGAGAGAGAGAGAGAGAGAGAGAGAGAGAGAGAGAGAGAGAGAGAGAGAGAGAGAGAGAGAGAGAGCGAGAGAGAGAGACAGAGAGGAAAAAATAATGTGAGGCGAGATATGTTCAACTTGGATGTAACTAAGTGGCGGAAGATACCTTGAGTCATTTGTGCGACGCCTTTGGCCTCGCGGCCTCAATCTGTGTTACCCATCGCAATCATTGTCAATATTTGGGGAGAACTCGACTTCGACATCCGTTGCCAGTAACTTCATGACATGGTACAAAGGGGTGGCAATAGCGCCATCTAGTGCATTTCATCCATGCAATCCTGCATACCCATCCAGTCCAGCCCAGCAGGTGCAGACAAAAAGTGCGGAAGAGGAAATGTATTTCGGCCGTTCTTAATTTGCTACCGACAAGCAAATGTTTGGATTCCCTTTCCAGCTAAACAGCGTAGCTTCATGTCTTACGGCTGATGATTTCGTGAACTTTGCTTGCGCATCCTCCTGTCGCGACTTCACGCGACTTTAACCTACACCGCCTACTGAGTGTCCTCCAGCAATATCCAAACCTATCCACTTTTCTGACAACGAAGATTGCTGACTTTCTCGGCCACCAACGACCTGTTTGCAAAAAACTGTCAACCTGTATGTCTGCTTTGCGAAAACAATTTACATCTGCAACGCGTGCTTGCTAGTCCCGTGCAGGGTAACAGTGCTATTGGTCGCAAACCAACACTGGAGTCTACTAGTCACGGGCAAGCCGCAAAGCGAGTCGCAAGCGTTTGTTAAAATACGGCGACTTTGTGTGTCAGTGAGTGATCCAACCCTATCTGACCTGACCCGACACGACCCGCAGTGCTTTGGAGGAGTGGAACATCGCATCCCACAGACAGAGGGGGATGCCATTCATCAAGAAGGCACATGGCATCCTGTTTCAAAAAAGTGCGCTGCTGTCATCAAGTTGTCTTTTGTCACACCGATGTTGCACGCGAGCAGCGTGTGTGCGCCATTGCATAGAGACGTTCCATCACTCAACATGAAACGCAAACTGCTGGTCTCGGCTATTGCCAATTGCGACGGCCTGTGGGAGTAAAAGTACGTCACCTCGAATGGTTACACCCATGGTGGTCCAGGATCTAGTCATCGGATGGGACATGTTCGAATGCCAACTAATAGTGCAGGATTTTTGCCATGGCATCGATGACATGACTGGTGACGTCACAGGTGACGAAAAAAGGCGTGAAGAGCATTTAACTTCTCAAACAGCTTAAGGGCCAGTAGACACCTGTGGTAGTTGCTGCAGACGCTGGTATTGGTAACGGGTTGAAATAAATAGGTTTGGACTCCTTGGACTATGACACCTTGCGCTTTAAAATGATATCACGGTATTCAATGTCAAGAGTCAACATCGCGCCAAACCAAAATCAAGCCACTTCAAAAGCAGGTCATTTAATTTTGATGTTACTTTCTGATGGTTTCGATCTCATCGCGTACGGGAGTAAACGTTGTTGAGATGTGTCCGTCACAATTTTGGTGAACGGAGGTCACAAATTGTTTTTGCACGGTACTTGTATACTTTGCTTAATAAATTTTGCTTGTGGCCTGGTATGGAATCACAGAGTTCAACTGAGGCCAATTGTTAAGTCGTCTAGCTGATCGAATATTCTACTCAAGGCGATCAAAGCTTCAAAAAGAACAGAACGGTTTACTGTCTGACCATGCAAAGCATCAGTCAAGCCTTCACTTATGTCGTTAAAGCACACGTGACCTAACATCGACAGTTTTGTCACCCAGCACATGTAGAATTGATCATTTTACCGGTTCTGACGTTTTTTAACATTTAAGTCGAGTCTCATGAACGGATCGATTTATGGGATCAGAGCTCTTGCCAAGCAGCGTGTGTTGTGTGAGCCCGACTCCTACCATTCCTACCTGTCAGCCCTGACTCCTGCCACTTTGTGAATGCATAAAAGCGGTTCGAAGGTTATGCCAGAATGTCTGAGAGAGGCATGACTTTTCATTTTCATGCGGCCGCAGGCGCGCCCAGGAAAGCACTCTTGGCGCATGCGCTGGCACCCGAGCACACGCGCCATGATGACCATGACCGAGCTGGGGCTGCCTTTCTGCTATGTGTGCTCTCGACTGTACCAGAGTCCCAACATCTTTCAGCACTCAGCCATTTTAGGGCCAAGCGAGGTGATCAAAGGAGAACTCACAGGGATAGGGAATGACAAACGAAAGAGTTGAGGATATCAACAGCTTTGCAAGAGTAAACGATCGACAATTATCGGGACAACGCATGGAGCATGGGCAACGCTGTGCAACGACAACGTGATTGCTGAGTTGTGTGGTACAACGGGGCCAAACTGAGCTCCGTTCAACGACATAAAGTGAGTTGTTCCACATATGCATGGAATGTTGAGGTAAAGTAGTCATTTTGAAGATCATTCCGTGCTGTTCACAGCGTTGCCCCCCTTATGACCTAATACTCTCTAGTTTCTGAGTTATACGCCCGCGAAGATGTGTAGAATATTGCGTAGACCATTTCAAGGCCATTCAGGCATGCATGACGCCAGAGCAACGTCATTCAAATGCTACCGCCCCTCGGGCCAGGTGGTGTTTAAGGTCAGGACAAATATTATCGTTCAGCCGTTCAGATCTACCGCCCTTGAGCGCGATTTTCAAATAAAGTGGGCGCCAGTTGGCTCTCAAACATTGTCGAGCAAGCTGTGTGAGAATCAGTGACGAGTCAAGTTTGTGCTGCATAATGAGATAAGTTGGACATGATGTCCTCACTTTCTAGTTATTACGGAAATAACACTTGCAATAGAATAACTCACGAATGACGTCATAACCAAGCATGTGAATGCAACTTAGCATCTTTTATCCACGGCTAAATATGCAAGAACACCACGGGAATAGGCGAAAACACCAGCACACAACGACTTTTGGCTCGGCAAACACTTTCAACCCGTGCCGCTATCTCACCATGACTTCGAAGTGCTACAAGTAAGTTACACTTTCTCATGGGTCATTTGGCAGTACCTCAAAGTCAAACAAAGGTTCTATGACGCAGTCATACAATGATGTATTGAGGAGCATGTTTATGAAAAGCAGAAATGGTGCTTTCTAGAGTAGTCTTTTTCACTTAAATGTACACCACGAGTTATAAGAGAGTTCATTTTATCATATCTCATGCTTGCTTCAGTATTTTCATATGTGAGATATTCCCTGTAAATGTAAGGCATATTGGGCGACTACATGACGCTAATCTCCCACCGCAGCTCCATCTATTTGTTTCAAAATTACGTAAGTCGTTCAGTGCCTTAGCGAGGAACATAAGTCACACAGATAAGCCTTGTTACTCGGAAGAAAAAAAACAGGAGAATAGAGATATAGTTAGGTTGATATTTCGGCAACACGTCTTTCTCGAAACAATAGCAGAAGTGAATTATCTTCTAGGAATGAAGTGAATAGCAAAAATGAATTCACCTCTGCTATTATTTCGAGAAAGGCATGCTGCCCAAATATCAACCTACCTATACCTCCATTCTCCGCGTTTTTCCGAGGAATAAGGCTCATACTACTGTCTTATCCACAGCTCCATCTGGTGAAGCCCAGGGTTTGTGGGATGTCCACGCGCACATCTGAAGTTGCAGACGTTTGAAATGTTCACGTCGCTGCTCCGTTTGGACCCCGCGTGTTCTTCCCCCAACGGTGACGTTGGCTCTCGGCGAATGGGTCGAAGTCAGTGGGGTCCTGCTTTGTGAACGCGTGATGTGAGGCTACGCGCTTGGTCACGTGGTTACGTACGCCTGTGAGTTCGCCCCGAGCGGACAGTCACGTGACCGACCGGGCGTTGGGCCAGCGGCCAGTCGGAGAATGCAGACCCAACCGGCACCCGTGGCATGTGTCCGGGGCAGCAGCTGTCGTAGCTGCAGCTGTCGTACCGTGGCCGGAGCAACCGCGGTTTGGACGTAACAGTGCCGCCATGGTTGTTATGCGGACAGACTACTGTGCAACAGAGATGTTACGAAACTGTGGGGCTTAACTGCGGTGAAAGCGTGGTCGTGTTTTTTAACATCCATCTACTGAGTGTCTACTATAACTTTTAACCGCACTTGTTGCTGTCCAAGTTCTTTTAAATGGACTTATTTGACACTGCCAGTACTTGTTTCCTAACTTAAAGAGCTTCTGGCTATCATAAAACAAAAACTTATCCAACGTTTGAGCTCACTGCAGTCAGCTTAATCTTGTAACTTTGTGCTTAAGCCAATCAATCGTGCAGGTTTGTGGTTAAATACCATATTAGAAAGGCGGTGAAATTTTTACGTAGCTGTGTCTACCAAATATCATATAACAACGCAAAAATAGCCAAACTAAGCTTTTGTCCTTTCTTCCTTCGACCAAAACAACAAGCTATGAATAAAGGCTAACGTATCATAATCCGCATGGTGTGCATGTTGTAGGAATATGGTCTTGATAGGCACGACTATAATCCTAAACTACAGGTATCTGCTAAATAAAACAAAGAACAAACCACGAGAAAATTCCTGCCGTGAA